TCCATCAGAAAGTTTCTTGTCAAAATTAAATTAGGAAAATGGAGGACAGTGATAGAATTAACGAAGCTGATCAAATTGGAAAGTTGAAGATGAAATTATTACACATAATACTCGCAATCTAGCCAGGGAAATGCATGCTGTCCCTGGATATCTGGAATGCATACAGTACTTGCGCATTCTTATCTTACCATGAAACAAGCATTGCTAAAGTTACCTCTGGTGTGCAGTAGACGTGATCCAGTTGACCTGTCTACAATTTGGTCTGTTGACATCCCTGACGGCATTTACCAAACTTCCTATCTCCAGCTTGGAACAGCTGCAGGAACAGAGCTGGATGTGTACCACTATTTGGATGATGTGCTGCTGCTGCTACAGAAAGAGACAAAAATACGTCACTTTGGTACAGGCTGATCGTGATCACTACTCTTTAGAAGTTCAGGTGGCTTCTGAACTGATCTGACACAATGGCCCAGCAAGAGCCCAGACCTGAATCCATTGTAAAATCTTTGGGGTGATCTGAAGAGGGCTGTGCACAGGAGATGCCCACACAATCTGACGGATTTAGAGTGTTTTTGCAAGGAAGAGCGGGCAAATATTGCTAAGTCAAGATGTGCCATACTGGTAGACTCATACCCAAAAAGACTGAGTGCTGGAATCAAATAAAAAGGTGCTTCAACAAAGTATTAGGTTAAGGGTGTGCACACTTATGCAACCACATTATTTTAGTTTTTTTATGTTTACTTCCCCCCTAAAAGATTTCAGTTTGTGTTTCAACTGAGTTGTACAGTTTATAGATCGCATTAAAGGTGGAAAACTTTCTGAAATGTTTTATCTTTGTCTCTTTTTTAACAGAAACCTGACATTTTACCAGGGGTGTGTAGACTTTTTATATCCACTGTAGATGTCCCCTACCATGCAAAGGAGTCTCTGATGGTTGATGAAGCTGCAGAATCTCTGCCACTCTTTAGGTCACACTGGACCACTCTTACCACCAATGAAAATTGCCAGGGGTGGGTTGTTTCCTTGGAAGACCTCAGGGCACATGGAAGGTGGCATTTTGACTCAGCAAGATAGTCTTCAACATCCCAGGTGGAATTTGCCCCAAGTCACAAGGGGAAAAGGTCCCTCTTCATCCTGTTGCTCATTAAAATTATATTCTGACAAATTCCCTTCAATATGGGTGATTATTTACATTTGCTGCCGTGTTAACCCAAGGATAATGGACAAATTGTATCAATATTCACCATTATTTATACTTTCCTGGCGCCTAAACATGGCAACATACTTTGTCCCACCCTCTAATTTATGAGAATGAAGATACTGTATCTGAAGCAAACATTTATAGAATCAACGTGCATCTCCCACCACTTCTCCCCATATTCATTTATCAGCAGCCCCCCCCTAATGTAAATTCCCTTTATAGTTATCCATCAGCAGCCTATATAGTTATCCATTAGCAACTTCCCCAATGTAATGCCCCCTTATATAAAGTATATCCATCAGCAGTCCCCCCTCCCACTCCCAAAGTAAAGTCCTCATATATTTATCCATCAGTATGTCCCCCCAAATTAAAGACCCTTATAATCTCCCTCAATTTACAGCTCCCACATATTCATCTATCTGCAGCCTACCCCACGTGCATGTATCAATATACCGCCTTCATAATCATCCTTTATCATCCTCCCCACATACAGTATATCCACTGCCAGTGCTCAGTATAGAGTGCCCCCACATTTATCCATTGCCAGCCCCCTCATATACATCCATTTGCAGTCCTTATTGTACAGGCCCCCTGACAATAATTAATCACCAACCAACCTAATATCCGGTCTCTCGCAAAATCTTTAACCATCAGTTTCCCTCATATTTACTCCTCACCATGTTTCAATTTAGTAATCATCAGTCCACCAATGCCTCATCCCTCTTTTATTCATAAACCTGTTGTCCTCTTATGTGCAACTTTTGCAACAAAACTCTTAATTTCATCCTCATCTAGATAATTCTCAAACACCCCCAGGTCAAAGTGTGCAGCAAAGTTGGAGTGTGCAGACAGTCTGTCTGACCGAAGTCCAGAATCCTGAAGGAAGCTCTTCAAAGGGAAACTACACCTTGCAAGTTTGAAAATTTGGGGACAGTGTCAGCAGCACAGATAAGCTGACATCCAATTTATCATTACTTTATGCAGCCTTTTATGCTCCTTACAAGGCCTAGTGACCAGTCTGGAAATGATGCCTGTGGGAAGCAGCTCCTCTTGTGTGCTGCTATCTCTACTTGTACTGCACGTGTGCAAATATGCCATAAATTTCTAATCTATGGGTCCATGTGTATGAATGCATGGACGTCCCTAGTGTGTGCAGGCAAGCTGTGAGTCTTTAACAGTTGCCAAAAAGTGCTGTCATGTCTGCGCATGCACTGAATGTCACAATGTGCATGTGCCCATCTGTAAAACTGCCTCCTGGGATGTGTGATGGGTAATCCGGGAGGCAGCAGAGAAAAGTCTGTATATCATTCTTGCCTTGGTGAGAAAGCAGTATGTTCCTGACTGCAGCACATAAAAGGTAAGAGACCATTCGAAACAAAAAGTGTCACTCAAATTGTTGAAGAGGGAGAGGGAAGGAACTAGGAACTAAAAAGTAATTTTGATGGTTGAATGTCCAATCCCTTCACTGTGAAGTGTGAAGCCGGCTGTGATTCCACCATCCAAGATGGTGGTGCTGGGGACCCACAGGAGAGAGGTACAGTATTTGTGGCTGCTTACTTTTATCTTTTTTATAGAGAGAAGTTCCTTTTTAAAATACACTGCTCAAAAAAATTAAAGGAACACTTTTTAATCAGAGTGTAGCATCAAGTCAATTAAACTCCTGGAATATTGATCTGGTCAGTTAATCAGTTTCAGCTGCTTTGGTGTTAATGAAATTAACAACAGGTGTACTAGATGGGCAACAATAAGACGAACCCCCCAAACAAGAATGGTTTTACTGGTGGAGGCAACTGACATTTTTGTACTACTACCTACTCATCTTTTCTGACTGTTTTTCACTAGTTTTGCATTTGGCTAGGGTCAGTATCACTACTGGTAGCATGAGGTGATACCTGCATCCTATAGAGGTTGCACAGGCAGTCCATCTACTCCAGGATGGCACATCAATATGTGCCATTGCCAGAAGGTTTGCTGTGTCTCCCACCACAGTCTCAAGAGCCTGGAGGAGATTCCAGGAGACAGGCAGTTACTCTAGGAGAGCTGGACAGGGCCGTAGAAGGTCCTTAACCCATCAGCAGGACCGGTATGTGCTCCTTTGTGCAAGGAGGAAGATGATGAGCACTGCCAGAGCCCCACAAAATGACCTCCAGCAGGCCACTGGTATGAATGTTTCTGATGTCGTCTAGTGGGCCCTGTGCTCACTGCCCAGCAGGATCACTCTGAGCACATGTGACATATGTGAAAGGGTCTGGAGAAGCCATGGAGAACGTAATGCTGCCTGTAACATCATTCAGCATGACCGTTTTGGTGGTGGGTCAGTGATGGTCTGGGGAGGCATATCCATGGAGGGACGCACAGACCTCTACAGGCTAGACAATGGCACACTGACTGCCATTAGGTATCGGAATTAAATCCTTGGACCCATTGTTAGAACCTATGCTGATTCAGTGGGTCCTGGGTTCCTCCTGGTGCACGACAATGCCCAGCCTCATGTGGCAAGAGTATGCAGGCAGTTCCTGGAAGATGAAGGAATTGATACCACTGAATGGCCCACACATTTGCCTGACCTAAATCCAATAGAACACCTCTGGGATATCATGTTTTGGTCCATTAGACGCCACCAGGATGCACCTCAGATTGTCCAGGAGCTCAGTGATGTCCTGGTAGAGGATCTGGGAGAAATACCCTGGGACACCATCCTCCATCTCATTGGGAGCATGCCCCAACATTGCTAGGCATGCATACAAGCACGTGGGCCCATACAAACTACTGAGTACCATTTTGAGTTGCTGCAATGAAATTTCAGCAAAATGGACTAGCATGCTGCATCATTTTTTCACTTTGATTTTCGGGGTGTTTTTGAATTCAGTCTTCTGTAGGTTGATGAGTTTAATTTCCATCAAACGATGGGGCATCATTACGTTCCTAACACATTACCCAGTCCATATCAGTATAGATATCCAGCATGATATTTTTTCCCCATTGAGATCTGATGTGTTCTCAAAGTGTTCCTTAATTTTTTTGAGCAGTGTATATGTAAGCCTTCACTTTGAAAAACAACCCATTCAGTTTAAAATGCATATGAAAGGCAAAACATTAGTGTATAGATATAAAAAAACATAATAAATACAAAAGTATTGGGATGCCTGCCTTTACACACACATTAAATTTAATAGCATCCCACTCTTAGTCCAAAGGGTTCAATATTGAGTTGGGCCATCTTTTGCAGCTATAACAGATTCAACTCTTCTGGGAAGGCTGTCCACAAGGTTTAGGAGTGAGTCTATGGGAATGTTTGACCATTCTTCCAGAAGCACATTTGTGAGGTCAGGCACTGATGTTGAACGAGAAGGCCTAACTCACAGTCTCCACTCTAATTCATCCCAAAGGTGTTCTATCGGGTTGAGGTCAGGACTCTCTGCAGGCCAGTCAAGTTCCTCCACCCCAAACTCGCTCATCCATGTCTTTATGGACCTTGCTTTGTGCACTGGTGCGCTGTCATGTTGGAAAAAGGAGGGGCCATCCCCAAACTGTTCCCACAAAGTTGGGGGCATGAAATTGTCCAAAATGTCTTGGTATGCTGATGCCCTAAGAGATCCCTTCACTGGAACTAAGGGGCCAAGCCCAACCACTGAAAAATAACCCCACACTATAATCTTCCCTCCACCAAACTTTGCACTTGGCACAATGCAGTCAGACAAGTACCATTCTCCTGGCAACCGCCAAACCCAGACACGTCCATCGGAATCCCAGACAGAGAAGTGTGAATTGTCACTCCAGAGAACAGGTCTCTACTGCTCTGGAGTCCAGTGGCGGTGTGCCTTACACCATTGCATCCGATGATTTGCATTGCACTTGGTGATGTAAGGATTGGATGATGCAGCTGCTCAGCCATGGAAACCCATTCCATGAAGCTCTCTGTGCACTGTTATCGTGCTAATCTGAAGGCCACACAAAGTTTGGAGGTCTTTAGCTATTGACTGTGCAGACAGTTGGCGACTTCTGCACACTGTGCACTTCAGCATGCGCCGACCCCGCTCTGTCATTTTACATGGCCTACCACTTCATGGCTGAGTTGCTGTTGTTCACGATTGCTTCCACTTTGTTATAATAGCACTAACAGTTGACCGTGGAATATTTAGTAGCAAGGAAATGTCACATATGGACTTATTGCACAGGTGGCAACCTATCATGGTACCACGCTTGAATTCACTGAGCTCCTGAGAGCGACTCATTCTTTCACAAATGTTTGTAGAAGCAGTCTGCATGAATAGGTGCTTGATTTTATATACCTGTGGCCATGGAGGTGGTTTGAACACCTGATTCCAATGATTTGGAGGGGCATCCCAATACTTTTGGCAATATAGTGTGTGTGTGTATGTATGTGTGTGTGTGTGTATGTATATGTGTGTATGTATATATACAGTCAGGTCCATAAATATTGGGACATCAACACAATTCTAACATTTTTTGCTCTATACACCACCACAATGGATTTGAAATGAAACAAACAAGATGTGCTTTAACTACAGATTGTCAGCTTTAATTTGAGGGTATTTACATCCAAATCAGGTGAACGGTGTAGGAATTACAACAGTTTGCATATGTGCCTCCCACTTGATAAGGGACCAAAAGTAATGGGACAATTGGCTTCTCAGCTGTTCCATGGCCAGGTGGGTGTTTATTCCCTCATTATCCCAATTACAATGAGCAGATAAAAGGTCCAGAGTTCATTTCAAGTGTGCTATTTGCATTTGGAATCTGTTGCTGTCAACTCTCAAGATGAGATCCAAAGAGCTGTCACTATCAGTGAAGCAAGCCATCATTAGGCTGAAAAAACAAAACAAACCCATCAGAGAAATAGCATAAACATTAGGCGTGGCCAAAACAACTATTTGGAACATTCTTAAAAAGAAGGAACACACCGGTGAGCTCAGCAACACCAAAAGACCTGGAAGACCACGGAAAACAACTGTGGTGGATGACCGAAGAATTCTTTCCCTGGTGAAGAAAACACCCTTCACAACAGTTGAGCAGATCAAGAACACTCTCCAGGAGGTAGGTGTATGTGTGTCAAAGTCAACAATCAAGAGAAGACTTCACCAGAGTGAATACAGAGGGTTCACCACAAGATGTAAACCATTGGTGAGCCTCAAAAACAGGAAGGCCAGATTAGAGTTTGCCAAACAACATCTAAAAAAGCCTTCACAGTTCTGGAACAACATTCTATGGACAGATGAGACCAAGATCAACTTGTACCAGAGTGATGGGAAGAGAAGAGTATAGAGAAGGAAAGGAACTGCTCATGATCCTGAGCATACCACCTCATCAGTGAAGCATGGTGGTGGTAGTGTCATGCCGTGGGCATGTATGACTGCCAAAGGAACTGGTTCTCTTGTATTTATTGATGATGTGACTGCTGACAAAAGCAGCAGGATGAATTCTGAAGTGTTTTGGGCAATATTATCTGCTCATATTCAGCCAAATGCTTCACAACCCATTGGACGCCGCTTCACAGTGCAGATGGACAATGACCCAAAGCAGACTGCAAAAGCAACCAAAGAGTTTTTTTTAAGGGAAAGAAGTGGAATGTTATGCAATGGCCAAGTCAATCACCTGACCTGAATCCGATTGAGCATGCATTTCACTTGCTGAAGACAAAACTGAAGGGAAAATGCCCCAAGAACAAGCAGGAACTGAAGGCAGTTGCAGTAGAGGCCTGGCAGAGCATCACCAGGGATGAAACCCGGCGTCCGGTGATGTCTATGCGTTCCAGACTTCAGGCTGTAATTGACTGCAAAGGATTTGCACCAAGTATTAAAAAGTGAAAGTTTGATTTATGATTATTATTCTGTCCCATTACTTTTGGTCCCTTAAGAAGTGGGAGGCACATATGCAAACTGTTGTAATTCCTACACCGTTCACCTGATTTGGATGTAAATACCCTCAAATTAAAGCTGAGAGTCTGCAGTTAAAGCACATCTTGTTTGTTTCATTTCAAATCCATTGTGGTGGTGTATAGAGCCAAAAATGTTAGAATTGTGTTGATGTCCCAATATTTATGGACCTGACTGTATATAAACACTTAAGCACTATACATTCCATTTTAAGTTTACCACATTCACATATTGTATATCTTAGAAAATGTAGCACAGCATTGGATTCCATTTAGAGGCTTTGCTTCCAGTGTCATCAGCACTACATTCTGGAAAACCAGTAAAAGAAAAGGCAGGACCATGGTTAATCATTTTAGGTGAATAACACCCAATGTTCAGTCCTAGAGGGGAAAGGTGAGGGACCCAGGACAGGTTAAAGTAACGGCAAAACATTTATATATTTAGGGGTGGATGATCAGAGGGTGTTTTCTAAGCTGGCCAATAGGAATACATTTCTGTGCTTTATACATCAATGCTCTCCTTCAGATTGTTATTTGAAATATTTGAAAACGAACGCTAGGAGAGAAACTCTACAAGAGTCTGAACACATCCCGGAATGGTATGTACTAACATTTCTCATTAATTTAGTTTTATTTTAAATATGGTGTATAAGAACAGTGTCCCATTTTTGTTTATTTATTGAAGTCATTATAGGTGATATATACATTGCATATACACAGTATAAAATATACCTGTTCTTATAGGAAGGCTTAAAGGGCCAGCATCGAATTGTTATACGATCTCTATTTGGAAAATTCTTAAATATAAAGATATACAGGAATATGAAAACAGGAATGTTATGAAGTATGGAACAATAAAACCTATATCACCTCTCTTGTCTCATACAAAGCTATTTAAACATTTATGGAACAAGATCACAGTCAAACACGTTTTACCTTTTTTTATTACTGTTGTCAAATAATCAGCAACTGAGACACAACAAATAACTATTGAAAATGATTGGACACATTAAACTTTTTTATATTACACTGTAATAGTAACCTGGACACGGACAGACTCAGTGGAACTATGGTTTGTTTATGTTGCCATGAAGCTAGATGACCAAGCGCTCTCCTCAATGTTAAAGATCTTTTAATTGGATACACATTTGGCAAAATGATTGTACAAGCTCCATTATGTATACCAAATAGTGTGGAACTAAAAAAATAAAAATTGGCAGACAGGCAAAAATTTTTAGAGCAGAAAAGACATGCTTTGTCTCTTCTGCATTAAAGGTACTTACCTGCCTGTTCGCCACTGTACAATGAGCCGCACATGCGCACCCTCCCTGGCCAATGACAACGGCTGGCGATCGAGACCCGGAAGCTGGCCGGGCAGGTAGCAGAAGGACGCTGCATCGCTAGAACTAAGGTGAGTATAGTTCCACTTTAACTAGTGGAAGGGTGTGTCTGGGAACCAATTGAATGGATTGCATAAGCAGGACCTCCCATTACAATATAGTTTTGGTAATGCTAAAGCTCATTACATAAGTTACAATCTCACTGCACTATCTTTGTACAATCCACTTTAGATTTACCAGAACTATGTAATGTGAAGAACCTACCTAAACTATGCAATCAATCTTTATCCAGTCACGCAGACTCTTGAAATAAATAGTTGTTGGAAGATCTGTTGATAGATTGTTGGTAGATGTAAGGAGAGTGTACTGACAAATAGTATGGTGTAGTGTGCTTAAAATTGATTGTATTTTGTATGGGCATCTATAGACTATAGAAATGTTACTCAGGCATTGCATTAATTCAGTTTAGCAAATTTTGGGCAAAAAAAGTAATGTTCTGCATGTTCAATAAAGTGGTCAGTTTTACAGAGCCTTCCCTTACATGTATATAGATACAACTGGGGCTTGCACAGCAGTATGGGGTGTATTTACAAAACAAAATTGCTGTGTGAATGTATGAGCATTTGCACAGCTGTCACAAATAAAAAATGTCGCTGTAATGTGTTTAATTTGTTTATTTCTTATGATCATCAGCTCCATTTAGAGGCAATAATGCTGTATTTTCCTGACTGAGGTAATTCAGGAAAATACCACATTATGGCCACAAGATGGTGTTGATGATCATAGAAAATAAACAGACACATTCTGTGAAACATTGTGCTGTGTTATTACAGTCCTACGTAACTAATGATGCTTTGAGGGTGCCTAAGCCACACTAAAAAGACATGGTTTCCCTTTGTTTTACTGTGGAAATCCTATAGTATTTGGCAAGCAAACCCTAATATGTGCTCCAAGCCAGTCTCTACATATACACCCAAGTTTCTGTCTTTTTGTTCTGATCCCTTGGGTTAAAATTAGTTCCCTCATAATAGATATATAACTGAAGGGTAATGCTTTATTTATAAACAGGCATGCATTTAAGGCAGCATAAGCACTGATTAATGTTAGTTGAAATCATTTTTAATATAAAAAAAAAAAACTTTACTTTACCCGATGATACTTAAAGTACCTAGTTTAGGCATAGTTCCCCTTTTTGGGAAAAAAAAACTGCTTATGCAGCTAAGGGAGACTGTATACAAAAACAAAATGGGCAGCTTTGACCAAAGTTGAATAATGCCCTTGCTATACATGGAGTCCATTTACATATCCCCGCAAAGCTGAATGTAAAACTCCCGGAGATTGCATCATCCCATCTTGCCTTGTTGCTAAGACATTGCTAAGAGACTCCCAGCTGTTACTGTTCAGTTCACTATCACAGGAGCAAGATCTTTATCTGATTCAAACTCACATGTGCTTTCTCTATCCTGATGCAGTAGCTCTGAGCAATTAAGAACCCACTGACCTTTGACGACAGAGTCTTGAAACACCTCCTGGAAAAGAGACCATTCCCCTGGAGCCAGATACTGACCGCTGAGAAAATCTGCCTGTCAATTTTTCACACCTTGAATGTGCACTGAATTTTTGCAGTTAAAATGAGGCTTACTGCTCTTTGAACTGCACAATTTCTTGTGCCTCCTTGTTGGTTTATGTAAGACAGTGCTGTTGCATTGTCTGATTGAACGCCAGTTGAGTGGCCTTCATAGTCGAGAGGTCCAGTGTTGCAGAGACAATTAAATCACCCTACGTTCAAGGATGTTATTCACTTAACTTCTACCAATGATCAAATCCCTGTAACAGAGAGAGTATCCAGGACTCCTTCTCAGCCTTAAAGTAAGCCTGGCGTTGCTGGTCAAGCAAATGGAACATAATAGAAACTGTGTCTTCCTGTCCTATGCAGCCAGAATGTTGTGCTGCAACAGTCTGGAGTGAAAGTGGTGTATGATACTGCCTTGATGGAGGCTATCATAATGCCCAGGACTCTCATGCCTATGTAGGGTCCAAATGTGTGAGCGGAAGGCCTGGCGTTTGTGCAGAGAGAGTAAAATTCTGGTCCAGGCCATTTTAAGAACCAAGTCCAGATTCTCCAAGAAGTGACTTTGGAAGATTTATGATCCATCCAAACCTCAGCAGTGCAACATCCAACAGATGTTCTGTGACGAGGTGTGGATAGATAGACTGTTACTTTACAGGGAAATTGTTCAGGTATCCCACAATGAGGATAGAACGAGAACACAGAGAGCTAGAACGGGAGCTAAGACCTTGGGGAAGACCTGAGGTGCTGTGTACAGGCCAAAGGGAAGGGGAACAAACAGGTAATGTTGCATGGCCACAGAACAGCACAAGTAGAATTGATAGGGGGAAAAGAAGGGGATGATTGGGTAGGCATCCTTGATGCCCACAGAGGCTAGAAGGCTTCCAGCTCTAGAAAAGACCTCCAGCTCCCAATGACTGTAAAGGCTGATAGGTTTTGTTAAGGAAGGAAATGGCTTGGTCCACAACAAGGACTGTCTATTTTTTTAGAAACCCCTCCTCAATAGGTTTTTGCTGAGCAAAGAGCTTGGAAGAGATAAAGATGTTTTCAGAATGAGGCCAGACACCTAAAAGACAGGCCCCAGGAGCAATTGTACAGGGAACATTTTGGTCAGCCAAGGCATAATTTATAAATCTAGGCTGGTGACATTTGGCTGGGCCAGTGCAGGCTGCTCCAGGTCAAAACTCATGATTAATGTGCAGGGGCGGGCTGACAACTCATGGGGCCCCTGGGCAATAGGGGATCATGGGGCCCCTGTGTCCTTGCCCAAACTCAAAAAAGCCTATGAAAAAGGTACCAGGGGCATCTCATGGGGCCCCCTACTGACCCCGGGCCCTCGGGTAGTGCCCGAGTTTCCAAATGGTCAGTCCGCCCCTGATAATGTGTATATACTGTCCTACTAATGTTTAGCAGACAGCTAGCTAACAAAACTGACAGAAGCAGCGTTGTGTTTCATTCTAAACTGACTTTACGTCTGTGAATAGTTCTTTATAACTGCAATACAATTACATAAACTGAAACTGCAATATGTTTGTAGACGTGTCTCTCAGAAATGCCTACAAAGAACACATTTCTTATAAACAGATACCTACAAATCACATTGAATATATTGAAATGCGATCTAGCTATGTATGTGACTTTGACAAACACAATGGAAGAACTTACAGGCATATGTGTATCAAAGTGAAAATGGAGGCATCCACTGGCGTTCTTCTGGAAGCTAAATGGAACTGCATTGGTAAATGGGAAATATTTATTTTAACAAACCGAGACAATTCCTGTTGTTGAAAAGGAATGCTAAAAATAGGAGCAGTTGCAGTGAATGCCCAATAGAAGGCTCCCTAATCCACACAATGATAGGAAACAATATACAGAAAAGTGTCAGTAAGGCTAGAAATAGTATCCTTAAAATGGTTGTATACCCTTACCTATACCCACTGAAGTGACTAGCCTCAGATGATACACAGAAATTAAACAAATCCTCCTACATACGTTTTACCTGTTTATTTGCAGCCATATCGCCTGTACGTCCTTGTAAAACTCAGAGATGAAAAGGATTTTTCAAAGACTCACAAAGCAGGGGGTGGGAAGCTGCAGTTGTGTACTGTTCAAGAGCTCTGATAGCTGGTTGGAGGGAATAAATAAAACCTCCTTCACACAGCACACAGCTGTGCCCTCCCCTGCCACATTTTTAGCTCTTGGAGTCAGAAGAAAATAGCTTGTCAGGGGTTTAACTAAAGCTGATTCATCCCTTCTGCATGATCAGCAGAGCTTGAAGAAGCTTTGGCAGACAGCAGAGAGAAATGACACTTTAGTGTGCTTTGGAAAGAGGCAAGTAAACATTGTAGAAATATGTACTTTGTTCAGATTTCATATCTGAGTTTTACAACCACTTTATGTTTGGCAGAGATATCAGCTGATTAGGTATCCTCATGTGTCCTCAGAGCCAGACGAGGAACTCTCTTCTTCCTCCTCTTAAGCATAGAAGCTTTAAGAGGAAAGTTAGTGCTCCAATGTAGGATACTTTGCCCAAAGCATCATTACAGAGAATTCAAGTATGGTCCCCAAAGATGGAGCCAAGAAGTTAACCAATCTGGATATCTGCTAAATGGAAACTGAACTGAGTAACAAATAACTTGCTAAAAGAGTCTAGATGCAAAAGTTAGTTTAAAAAAACAAAAAAGAAAAAATATTTTCCCCTATCAGGGCAGAGTAAAGATGTCAGTATACCTAAGACACGAGCAAAAAACTATGGATTGCTGAAAATAGGAGGGGTTACAGTAGAACTGTTGTTACAGTTTTGTTTTCCAGTATCCAATCACTTCAAGTTAGCTACATGGCAAATGGACTAAGACTACAATCCTGTGTCTTGCAATGTACAATTAACAAAATACATTTTGAATTGAATAATAACATAATGCAGTTCAAAGACATTTAAAATAGATCTAAATTTAAATCTCTTTATAGTTTTGGCTAGAGTTGAGAATTATTAAAATCCTGACATTTTTTGTGCCCTGTGTTCCATTCAAAAAATTACTTTTCCTTTCTAAACACAACCAAGAGTGAGAGAAAAAATCTCTCCAAGGTAAGGAAAATTGCTTCTTAGACAGCAGAACAAGTAACTATAAAGACGTTTAGATTTTCTCTCATTTTGGGCCTGGTGACAACAACCATAGTAGGGGTAAATCTTTCCAGTATAGTAACAGAAAAAGGTTCAAATCTCTCTCAATTCCATCCAAAACTTTAAAAAAAAGTTGACTTTAGATACTCATTACGATCAGTAATATGTTCTGAAACATTATGTAAGTTTGCAAATATAACCTTGCACCCTCTCACTTTTACTTGCTCACACTGTCCGTATTTCTTGCCTAATAAAGCCATCTGCTGATTTCTTCAAACACTAACAAAACATGTTAAGGGAAAAAAGCAAAACACCTTCCCCATCCCTCAAAATGTTAATGATAACGGCACCCAAACTTATGCCAAAATGAGCTTGGAACTGTCTGCTCCTTCCTCATCCGCCTCCAGACATTTATTACATTTAGGAGCAGGGCCAGATCTAGCACATCTGATCTGGAGGTGCAGTAAAAAAATTCAGGGAGCATAATGTCAGTAGCAGGGGCGGGTTGACCATTTGGAAACTCGGGCACTGCCCGAGGGCCTGGGGTCAGTAGGGGCCCCATGAGATGCCCCTGGTACCTTTTTCATAGGCTTTTTTGAGTTTGGGCAAGAACACAGGGGCCCCATGATCCCCTATTGCCTGGGGGCCCCATGTGTTGTCAGTCCGCCCCTGGTCAGTAGTGTGACCAGGATGCATGGAACCAATATTCCCTGTTCACTCGGCACACTTCTGTATCAAGGAGTCATAACCCAGAAGTATCGTCTGACAGGTAGTGCAGAGGTGGTGCAGGAGTGAACTGGGAATGCCGTCATTAGTTTAGGGTGATTAAACAGAACCTGTGCTCTCTTATATCAGGTGTCCTAAAAGAGTGTCTTCTTATATCAGGAGTTCTTCTCAGAGTCCCTCCTTACATCAGGTGTCCTCACCAGAGTGCCCTTTACATAAAATGTCCACATCAGAGTGCCCCCTTACATAAATTGCCTAATCAGAGTGCCCACTTACATCTATTGCCCTCTTCACCTCAATTGTCCCCATCAGAGTTCCCCCTTACATTAACTGTCCCCATCAGAGTGTCCCCTTACATCAATTGTCCCCCTCAGAGTGCCCCTTTACTGTCCCTATCAGGTCTCATGGATTTGTGGATGCACTCTCAGAGGTATGGGGGGCACAACTAAAATCTGTAGGGGGGGGGGGGGGGGGGCATAGCCTGCTTCAATTCTCCTAGTTCTGGGACTGTTTAGGAGTGGGTTCATTAGTGTGCTGCAGTTTGGCTGCAGTGTGATTGTATGTGTGGTTTACCCCCATTATTAGGTACTGAATTCTATTAGACCATGCGTTTTTATGAAACTGCACCAAAGTCCTGCATGCTGCATCTTTAATGTGCTTTCAGAAAATGCAAGGTCTAATAGGAGTCAGTGGGAACACACCTAAAACCACAGGTAAACCGCTCTAGTTGTTCATCTTCACATAGTTGTTTCCAGGGAAGGTCTGGAGTGTAGATATAATGCTTTTAGAATTACAAAAATTTGGGCATGCATAAACTGATTACCTAAATTTGATTATAAGTATAATTTAGGTAAAAAGCAGTTGTAGCACAAACCTGTATTTCCATGTTATACCCAATCAGGTTTGGGTGAACCTTTTATTATATCCCTAAATCTGATTGGGTATTGGGAAGCAGACATAGATTTAATGTCTGCAAATAAGAATTTTTAGGCCCTTAAAGTGGTAATAAACTTGAAAGTAAGCGAAAAAAATATTTCCCCCTGAAAAACAATGTTATAATGTCATAGTATGCACCACATACTCAGGGCCAGTGCTAGACTATTTTACACCCAAGGCAAGACCAGCTACTTGCGCCCCCCCCCCCCCCCCATCATATCAGTGTCATATATGAGTGCTGCCTTTCAGTGCCCATCAGTGATGCCTGTCAATGCCCACCAGTGATACCTGTCAATGCCCATCAGTGCCACCTACCAGTGCCTCCTCATCAGTGCCGCCTATCGTGCCCATCACTGCAGCCTCATTAGCGCACATCAGTGAAGGAGAAAAATGACTTATTTAAAAAATTTTATAACAGAAACTAAGAAAAAATTTTTTTTCAAAATTTTCAGGTTTTTAGTTTGTTTAGCAAAAAATAAAAAACCCAGTGGTGATTAAATACCACCAAAAGAAAGCTCTATATGTCTAAAAAAAAAAAAAAAAAAAAATGTTGCTTAGTGCAGTGTTGCATGACCGCGCAATTATCATGCAAAGTGCGACTGCACTGAAAGTTGAATACTGGCCTTGGCAGGAAGGGGGTAAAAGTGCTCAGTTGACAAGTGGTTAAAGACAAAATCAGTGTCACAGACAGGCTGTATCTGTCGTTGGCAGTGGTAGGGTGACAGTTGCAGCGAGTGGAGGATGATGATTGATCCACACTAATGATGATGGATCCCAGGCTGGAATTCCCCAGGCAATGGGGGTAGATAAAACGCTGTGACAGCAGTCAGCCCAGCCCACACACACAGAGAACACCGGAACTGAGCAATCCCATACAGTGTCACATCTGACACAACACACACACCACCAACATTGACACAGATCAGCAGGCCCAGCAGGCACTGGAAGAGCAGGTTTTGGGATTGTGATGATTTCATCACTCATTGACACATTGCACATGTGATGGATGGCCAGCCGGCTGGGTCACATTCACACAGACACGAGACATCAGAGTCAGAAATTACATTCCTCCACAGGCACAGCTCCCCCTCCACTGATGAATGGGAACTCCACAGTGATAAGCAGCAGCTGCCAGCTGGCTTGCAGTAAGGAACTGAGTCTGAGAGGAACACTGGATGGAATGGCAGCTCAGCTGCTACACTGGCCCCAGACACTGGCATCTTCCTCTGTTCTTTCTTTCTTCTCTCTGCCGTTCCTCCCCTCAGTTGGAGGATCATTCATGATGATTGGCGGCGTTCCGCACAGAGAGGCTGCAGGCCTGTGCTGCTCCCAGGTGTCCCTAGGTGGCAGTGTGCCCTAGGTGGCTGCCTAATTTGCCTAGCGCATACTAGCACATTATGTGAAACTTACCTTAAAATGCTCTCCAGCAGCACGTTGTCAAAGCTGAAAGGGCTTCCATCTTCACCCAGACTTCCTTCTGAGTTTGGAGGCTCTGGTCCTTTGAATAGCCAGGCTGCAATGACGTCACTCCTGTGCAGTCACTGCTTGCGGCTCAGAGTTTAAAGGAATGGCACGGATATACTGTTCCTTCAGAGCACATGCACTGGTGATGTCACTGGTGGCTGCACAAGTAAATATCTCCTAAACGGTGCACATTTAGGAGATATTTACAGCACCTACAGGTAAGCATTATAGTTAAAACATAAATATACGGCTTTACTACCACACTAACAATATGAATGAAATAACTCAACCATAAAATACAGCAATTACTTTTATTTATTTAATTCGCATATCAGATGTTCTTTGCATCATATACGTGTTACAAACTTTTTTTCTGTTTTTTCAGACTTCTTACACTGACAAGGGAGAGAAGGTAATAAAACATTTCTTGAAAAAAATGTTTGAATATTGAAGCTGAAACCACAGGGACATTCAGTCTTGCAGGGTTGCGCTGGCTCCTCTTCTATACTGAAATTGCTTAATCTGATTTCATTGCACACTGTGAGCTTCCTACAGTGCGCATTAGAAGTTGAAACAAGTCAAACAGCTTGCAACATTACTTGGCTGGAAGACATCCAGCGTTATTTAGCATTCCTTCCCAGCCTGATATTCCCTGGCCTACCACTTTCATTCATTAGATTTCAGTTCTTTCAATCAAGGATTCTCAGCATCATATGCGGGCATTACCACAGCTTCCTGTTTTCAGGAAGCTATATACAGCAGCCTGCCAGCCCCTCCCATCAGCCATGATCTGCCTGTAGAGAAGTACAGAGACCCAGTGATGACATCATTGGGTCTAAAATAAGGTATGTAAGATAATAAAAAAAATAAAATACAGTGTATATATGTGTGTGTGTATGTATATGTATATATATCTATATCTATATATATATACAGTGAGGAACAGAAGTATTTGAACACCCTGCGATTTTTCAAGTTCTCCCACTTAGAAATCATGGAGGGGTCTGAAATTCACATTGTAGGTGCATTCCCACTCTGAGAGACAGAATTTAAAAAAACATTCAGGAAATCACATTGTATGATTTTTAAAGAATTTCTTTGTCTTGCACTGCTGAACATAAGTATTTGAACACCTGAGAAAATCAGTGTTAATATTTGGTACAGAAGCCTTTGTTTGCAATTACAGAGGTCAAACATTTCCTGTAGTTCTTGACCAGATTTGCACACACTGCAACAGGGATTTTGGCCCACTCCTCCACACAGATCTCCTCTAGATCTGTGAGGTTTCAGTGCTGTCGCTGCGTGACACTGAGTTTCAGCTCCCTCCAAAGATGTTCTATTGGATTCAGGTCTGGAGACTGGCTAGGCCACTCCAGAACCTTGATGTGCTGCTTACGTAGTCACTCCTTGGTTATCCTGGCTGTGTGCTTCGGGTCGTTGTCATGTTGGAAGACCCAGCCACTACCCATCTTCAATGTTCTGACTGAGGGAAGGAGATTGTTGCTCAAAATCTCACAATAAATGGCCCCATTCATCCTCCCTTTCATACAGTGCAGTCGTCCTGTCCCCTTCGCAAAAAAAAAGCACCCCCAAAGCATGATGTTACCACCCCCATGCTTCACACAGTAGGGATGGTGTTCTTGGGATGCAACTCATCCTTCTTTTTCCTCCAAACACGACGAGTGAAGTTTAGACCAAAAAGTTCTACTTTGGTCTCATCTGACCACATGACTTTCTCCCATGCCTCCTCTGGATCATCCAGATGGTCATTGGCAAACTTCAGACGGGCCTGGACATGTGATGACTTGAGCAGGGGAACCTTCCGTGCAATGCATGATTAGAAACCATGACAGCGTAGTGTTCTACCGACAGTGACCTTTGAAAAAGTGGTCCCAGCTCTCTTCATGTCATTGACCAGCTCCTCCCTTGTGGTTCTGGGCTGATTCCTCACCTTTCTTATCATCAGTGATACCCCATGAGGTGAGATCTTGCATGGAGCCCCAGTCCATTTTCTAACAATTGCTCCAACAGTTGATCTATTTTCACCAAGCTGCTTGGCAATTGCCCTTTCCAGCCTTGTGGAGGTCCACAATTTTGTCTCTGGTGTCTTTTGACAGTTCTTTAGTCTTGCCCATGGTAGTAGTTGGCGTCTGACTGACTGTGGGGTGGACAGGTGTCTTTAAAGAGCTCAGACAGGTGCTACTAAGTTAGATAAATGAGTGAAGTAGAGGTGGACTTTTTAAAGGCACAGTAACAGAATTCTTGCTGTTAGGTGTTCAAATACTTCTGTTCCTCACTGTATATATATATATATATATATATATATATATATATATATATATTATATATATATATACTGTGTATATATATGTGTATATATATATATATATATATATATATATATATATATATATAATTATGTTAGCATGTTGATGAGGGTGGAGAAAAGGAGAAACCCGGAAATGCAAAATATAAGCAAATTAAGCTTCAGCTTTATCATGTAAAGTATATAATAAGTGTATTATGTGAAATAGGGTGGAAAGCAGTATATGAATTGTTTTCTGTTGGCTGACAGTAGCATCCCATCTAAATGGTGGGGCACACCCACAGGCACTGAACCACAATGGAATATAATTTAACATTTTATTAACAAATACATTTTTTATCTATTGAAATGCAGGTCACATGACTTGTTTTCTTCAGTGTGGTCCAGGCTGGGGGCAGGGCTAAGCCGGAGCTGGTCATGTGTCCTGTGACATCACCTCAGCTTTTTCAGGCTCTCTCCCCCCAGGGTGTGTAAAGCAAAGTGGAGCTAAAGTCAAGACCTAATTCACCCGCCAATGCCTTTGGCTCCAATTCACTTTGCACGGCTTGGGGGGAGGGCCTGAAAAAGCTGAGTCACGATGTCACAGGACTTGTGACCCACTTCAGCTTAGCCCCATCCCCAATGCAGGATTTACTTCACAGTAAGCCATGTATAGACACAACACTGAGGGAGGGGTGCATGCGCAGTGTGGTGGCAACAAAGCAGAGGCTCTGTGAGCCTGTGGATTGTTGCCACCACACTATTGGTGACTACAGAGTACTATTAATTTATTTATAAAGAATTAAACAAAGGAAACATACAAATTATTCTACTTTTTAGGAAGGGTTTTATTTATTTCTGTTTAGTTCAGCAGCACTGTAACAAATAGCGCCATTCTGTACAAATTATATAGAATCATTCACATTATTAAAGCCAAAATCTTGATAGAGTAAAGAATGGATAAAGTGGTTGTACACTCTTCCATATACCCAGTGAAGTGACTGGCCTCAGGTGATGCACAGAGATTAAACAAATCCTACTATGTAAGTTGTACCTGTTTATTTGCAGTATTCTTTTCTCTATAGCCATTCAAAATCCATAATTTATAAAGCTTAGCTGAGCTGTTAGAAAAAAGGGAGCAGAAAACTGAAGTTATAATCTGCAGAGCTCAGTGAGAGCTGATTGAAGGGAAGGGACTCACCCCCCCCCCCCCTTCGCACAGCACACAGGAGCAGAGCTGAGGCTGTCAATCTGCTGGAGGTCCCTCGTCATCACCATTTTTCTCTTGGTGTAAGGAAAACGTATGCTGATGGAAGAGGAACAAAGCAGCAACAGAAATGACATTTAGTGCTCTTAACTGAGACAAGTACACGCTATAGAAGGATATGCTTTGTTCATATTTCATCAATTAGGTGTTTTTTCTGACGTCTATGGCCCATTGAGGAGATTTCGCCTCACTTCCTGTCCAACAGACATTGCAAAAAGTAAGAGCAGATCTCTCCAAAGTGAGGGGAAATTCTTGGACAGCTCAACTGAAACAACTCAAAAAATTTTGCTTTACCTTCACATTCTGTACTGGAGGCAGTGTTCACCAGTGAAGACATAAAGTGATAAAAAGCTAACAGGGGTTCTAAACATTCTATACTTTATCCAAAACTAAAGAAAAGGTTTTGGCTTTACATATGTATATACTCCTACTATGGTTCATTAACTTACCTGTTCATTTCTATAAAATTATCAAAGCAATCAACTCAAAGAGAGCATACAAACTCCATAGTATAGAAAAAAATAAACATTTATACTCACCTAGGTGGATGCAGTGTCGGTCCGATTCTGCATCTGCCGTTACCGGCTCTAAAACTGAGAACTGAGTATCAAAGATTGCTGATTGCTCAGTTCTCACTCTGTCACTGTCAGTCACTGGCTTTCTGCTCTGCCCCTCTAGTGCTCACTGGAGCATCGGGCTGTAGAGGGGGTGGGAGAAGCTCACTGAGGCTCTCAGTGACTCGCTGAGAGGCTGAGCCTTCTGTTGGTCTAGGCATCTGGGGATCTTTCCTGATCTTTCCTGAGCCTCAACTGGTTTAGTAACATCGTAGGAGTGCAGAATGAACTGCACTCCTGTGATCCACAGCAAAAAAAATAGCTTCACCTTTAAAGCACTATATATACTCCAAACTGATATTTCCACTTCTGTGTCATCACTTAGTTCCATACAATTCTTCTCTTGTGTCATCACCTTAGTTCCATACAGTTCTTCTCTTCCACCAACATATAATTTTATGATCTAAAGCTAGCCATAGATGGTTCGAATCTCGACCGCTTCAGCAGAGACCAGCCAAGCTTCAAACCATCTATCTATCTAAAGCTAGCCATAGATGGTGCGAATCTCGACCAGTTCGGAAGAGACCAACCAAGATTCAAACCATATATGAGCAGGCTGATTGTATCCAAATCATAGGTGGGATTCCCCCATCAACACTGACTGAGTTAATGGGGGAAGCAAGCAATTTTCAAGCCATGGGTTGCAGAAAAGAAAATCACATCATCTATAGCTGGCTTAAAATTTGCAGAAAGTTAAATGGGAACACAAAGGAAAGTACAGCTTATTCTTTTCTTGGAAAGGACCCTCACAGTACTGTAGCTTACCTACATCTTTCTGCCCCCTGCACTTTGCTATTGGCTAGTGAGGCAGCTTATCACAGTGATGGGCCAACAGAAATGCAGAAATGTGATTTTGGAAGGGGAGGCCTATTGAAAAGATCCTTTCTTCATTACTCCCGAAGAGATACAGGTAACCAGTGAGAGTCTTAAAACAGGAATAATCTTATAAAAATTATCTATATGCAAAATTATTCACTATATCTAACAAAAAGGTACATTAATAGAATTTATTTTAAAATGTCATGAAAATGATTTTCAATATAAGCATAACATACTGTTCTATTTTAAGCATGAAAGAGGTCGATTTCTAAACTTCCACCATCTCACTTTTTGGGTTGGAAATGCCAAACAGGTAAGGTATTATAATGCTATAATTTTAATACATTATGTTTAAAGATTGTCTTTGCAGATTGTTTAGAACTATCTTTGTCACTGCCAGAAGCATTTGTAACATCAGGGCCAGCAAGAGAGACTAGCAGTATCTGTTAACCACATTCTTGTAAGTGTTGCTAATTGCAGCACAATAAAATAAGTAAATTACAAATGAACGAAGGCATCACTTACTTCTATGTGTACAGTCTCGTGACAGGTGCCATTTTGAGGTTTCATTTGAAAAAGTGTTCTCTTTCTAAAAATATATATATATATATAGTGGATATAAAAAGTCTACACACCCCTGTTAAAATGTCAGGTTTCTGTGATGTAAAAAAATTAGACAAAGATACATTTCAGAACGTTTTCCACCTTTAATGTAACCCCATAGATTTTTAATCGGATTCAGGTCTGGGGTCTGTCTGGGTCATTCCAAACTTTCATCTTCTTCTGGTGAAGCCATTCCTTTGTTGACTTGGATGTATGCTTTGGGTCATGCTGAAAGAGACTACCCCCAAAACAGGAATGGTTTTACAGGTGGGGGCCACTGGCATTTTTTTCCCTACTATCTTTTCTGATCTTTTCACTAGTTTCGCATTTGGCTAGGGTCAGTGTCACTACTGATGGCATGAGATGATACCTGGACCCTACAGAGGTTGCACAGGCAGTCCAACTCCTCCAGGATGGCACATCAATACATGCCATTGCCAGAAGGTTTGCTGTGTCTCCCAGCACATTTTTAAGAGCACGGAGGAGATTCCAGGAGATAGGAAGTTACTCTAGGAGAGCTGGACAGGGCCCTAGAAGGTCCTTAACCCATCAGCAGGACCGATATCTGCTCCTTTGTGCAAGGAGGAACAGAATGAGCACTGCCAGAGCCCTACAAAATGACCTTCAGTAGGCCACTGGTGTGAATGTCTCTGACCAAACAATCAGAAACTTCATGACTTCATGAGGGTGGTCTGAGGGCCCGACATCCTCTAGTGGGCCCTGTGCTTACTGCCCGGCACCATAGAGCTTGATTGGCATTTGCCATTGAACACCAGAATTGGCAGGTCCGCCACTGGTGCCCTGTGCTTTTCACAGATGAGAGCAGGTTCACCCTGAGCACGTGACATACGTGAAAGGGTCTAGAGAAGCCATGGAGAATGTTATGCTGTCTGTAACATCGTGCAACATGAACGTTTTGGTGGTGGGACAGTGATGGTCTGGGGAGGCATATCCGTGGAGGTACGCACAGACCTCTACAGGCTAGACAATGGCACTCTGACTACCATTAGGTATCGGGATGAAAGCCTTGGACCCATTGTCAGACCCTACGTTGCTGCAGGGACTCTTAGGTTCCTCGGTGCACGACAATGCTCAGCCTCATGTGGTGAGAGTATGCAGGCAGTTCCCGGAGAATGAAGGAATTGATACCATTGAATGGCCCCCACGCTCGCCTGATCTAAATCCAATAGAACACCTCTGGGATATCATGTTTCGGTCCATCCGACGTTGTCAGGTTGCACTTCAGACTGTCCAGGAGCTCAGTGATGCCCTGGTCCAGATCTGGGAAGAAATACTCCAGGACACCATCTGTCATCTTATTAGGAGCTTGCCCCAACATTGCCAGGTATGCATACAAGCATGTGGGGGGCCATATAAACTACAAAAGTACTACTGTGGGTTGCTGGAATGAAATTTAAGCAAAATGGATTAGCCTGCTGCATCATTTTTTCACTTTGATTTTGCAGGTGTCTTTGAATTCAGTCCACTGTATATATATATATGTAAAAAATACTTTTTATTTTCTAATAAAGCAACTAATTAATAAGACTGACTTCATAGCAGAACACTAAGCATGGAAAAATGTCTGGAAACCATTATTTAATGCCCTTTAGCGACAAGTTAATATCTCAAATTATAGAGAATCTTCTTGAGATCTAAGGTGCTTTGTAATAAATGACTCAATACACTTCATTATCACTTAAATGTAATAATATTAAGAAAGGCAAAGACATATGTAATAATCTAGCCTCAGAATTCTGGGTTATAAAGAACAGATGTTCTTCAGCAGAATTCTACTCATGCATGTGCAAACTGTGACTACATGAAACTGCCGTAAACTGCAACTGAAAAATAAATGTGATTCACAGCCGGAATCTCCCTGCAGGCTGCATCATTCTACTGTGACAAGTTGGGATTTGAACCTTTGGCCTATAAAGGTCTTGAGACTGGTAATCGAGATGTGGTATCACATGCTGTCAAGCAGGACAAGGTAAGCAAAGAGGGATACAGTGAATAATATGCAATCCAAATTATTTGATTATGTAAGACGTTCATTGTGTTTTGGTGCAATTGAAACTCACATCATACATCTGTACATTTTTTATATACAGTGGGGATCGAAAGTTTGGGCACCCCAGCTAAAAATTTGTATTAATGTGCATAAAGAAGCCAAGGAAAGATGGAAAAATCTCCAAAAGGCATCAAATTACAGATTAGACATTCTTATAATATGTCAACAAAAGTTAGATTTTATTTCCATCATTTACACTTTCAAAATAACAGAAAACAAGAAATAGTCCATGTTCCTCATGGCTGCAGCCATCTTCTTCTTGGGTGCAGGTTTTCAGGCATCTTCACTGGCAGGTGTGGGATGTACTCCTGTGCATATGCAGGAGTCAGTCATTCTGGCACACAGAGTCTGTGCTAGCGTTGTAAGCTTAGCTGCGCATGCGCAGCTTAGTTTTCATGTTGCAGAAGACTTCTCTTAGTCAATTGTAAAGTTGATTTTATTTTAATCTTAAAGCAGAACTAAATAACTCAGTTTATACATTTTAAAGAAAATGGAAGGCCCACCTGAACACCAGAGAGAGCTAGTGACACAGGTTCCGTAATGAGGGTGTTTTAGTGATCAGGCTCCATCAACTTCAAACAAAAGGTCACATGTCAATGGCACACCAAAGCATTTCATAATCTGAGGGCCTGTGGTGATGGATGTTGGTTTTGCATTTTCGTACAAGTTTATGGGTATTCAAAACCAGCTTGGAGCAGGTCACACAGGCCCTTTATCTGTCTTACTGCCTGACAAATGGGACCCTACGTGGCTCCGACACATTGAAAGTTGCTCCTCTTGGTGACTTTACAATAAAGTCAGATTAAGGAACGCTTTGGTGCATTTGTGGCGAGTGATCTATTATTAGTTTTCAGACAGTGTGGTAACATGGTAACCACCTAGGGAATCCCATTATATTTGAATAGTAAAAGGTAAAATCAAGAAAGAAAAGGATAAAACAAAACTAAAGCAAAAAATACACAAAATGTTCCCAATACCTAAAAAGTTATTAATGTTAAAAAAGAGTCTCTTGCTTGTTGTTGATGTTGCTCCACTTTTCATAATCAAGCAGTATGCCCCACTGTTTTTTCTATAGCATTAAATACTGAATGTAATAACCCTTGATTGGGTCAGATATACCTGTTTGCCTGGAAGCTTCTTGGTAATCACGCTTCATCAAAATCGTAATCCAGATCCTGCTTGTGTTAGTGAAAGGAACGTGTAGGGCAGCTACGACAATTGGCTTACCATGCAACTAAAAGCGAAAGCTTTTTTCATTTTAGATTAGGGGAGGGTTATAACCCCGTCCAGTTTATTTATTTTTTTTTTACTATCTGTGCCCCATTGGAGAGATTTCCCTTCACTTCCTGTCACATAGCCCAAACAGGAAGTGAAAGGAAATCTCCCCAAAGCAAGGGAATCCAAGGGTGTCACCAGAACTAGTGTCCTCATTGGAAGATTTCCCCTCTATTCCTGTTCTGATGGTGACCCAAAATTTGGGATTTTCTTTTACTTTTGGTGATAATGGTAAACAGTACAAATAGATGGTGAATCTCCCTAACTGAGGGCAGAGACAATAAAAACCTGTCAAGTGTTCTAATCCCTTGCCGCTTTATCTAAAACTAAAAAAAAAATGTTTTGCCTCTAGATCTATTTTAGTCACAATTACAGAAAAAAAACCTTCTGTGTGCAGCTCCCCCATAATACTCACCTGAGCCCTCTCTTGATTCAGAGATGTGCACAGGAGCCTCAGGAGTCCCGAGTTGCTCTCTCCTCACTGGCTGAAATAGCAGTGAGAGCCACTGCTGTCAATCGCAGACAGTGAGCCAATGGGGAGAGAGTGGGGGTGGGGCTGAGCCGTGGCTCTGTGTCTTATGGATGCATAGGGCTTGGGAGACAGCATGCACAAGTGCCTCAATAGCAAGTGGATTGCACTTGGCACTGGTCAAGGGGGAGGAGCCAGGAGCGCAGGCGGGAGACCCGAGAAGAAGAGGATCGGGGCTGCTCTGTGCAAAATTATTGCACAGAGCAGGTAAGGATGGCATGTTTTTTTTTTTTTTTTTTTTTTTAAAATAACCAAACTTTTAATATCACCAGAACTAGTGTCCTTATTGGAAGATTTCCCTTCTATTCCTGTTCTGGTAACGACTCAAAATTTGGGATTCTTTTTCACTTTCAGTATTGGTAATAATGGTAAACAGTAAAAATACACAGTGAATCCCCCTACCTGGGGCAGGGACAGCAATAAAAATGTGTCAAGTGTCTAATCCTTCACCACTCTATCCAAAACTAAAAAAAAAAAAAACAAAAGAAAAGTTTTGCCCTTAGTTCTACTTGAGTCACAATTACAGAATACACATTGCTTGTGTTAATGTAGCAAAGGTGTAGAGCAGCTTTGGCCAGCAGCCTACCTCACCTCTGAACAATGATCCCCTATCCCCATTACTGCATCTCCAAATGCAACTCTGACACTCTCCTTGTAGTAACTGGAATTTTACAACAACATACATATGTGACTTTCCACACATCGCATTGTTTTGAGAATTCCCAATTCTCTTAATTGAAACCATGTTATGGATTGCTAATTCTTTATGGATATTTAAATATACAAAGGATTGTTCTGTTTTGTATTTTAGATTGTTTTCGTGTTTGAATCCCCACTAAATCCGGGTAATCGAGGTATGTTTTTTTTTTTTTATTTATTTTTTTATTTCATGCTGTATACAGTATATAAATGTGATATTTAGGTAGTGCTCAAACCCAAATGATTCTTAGCTGTGAATAGAGTGGGAAGGAAGTCAAAAGCTTTTTTTCAGTTTTTATTGATGTCTATGACCATGTAGGAATGATCTCCTTACTTCCCTGTAAAAATACAAAATTGACAGAGATTCTAACTCTTCCACGCTCTACTAAAATGTCTGAAGATCTACTTCAAATAGTTAATGAAATTGATACTTTAACATGACCTATGTTTACCACATCTCAAATAAAAAGGAGACTGCAAGGGAAGCAAACAATTCACCTAAGAGGAGGATGTGCCGCCAGAACAGCCGAATTAATGACTAAGCCACTAACTACCAACTGCCTAAATGCTTCTAGCCAGATGACCACCATGAGAAAGCCTGGAGGTTATCTGACTGATAAATCAACAGCAAATACATTCTAAACTCACTGTATGAAACCACAATTCAGTTAGCAAGAGTCTACTAAGGATTCATCAGCCACAATTAACCAACCAACACACAGGTCAAGAAAAAAATACATTTTATTTAAAAAAAAAATAATTTTATGTGATAGACCAACACAAAGTGGCACATAATTGTGAAGTGGAAGGACAATGATAAATGGGTTTAAACATTTTTTAGAAACCATTATTGAAAGAAAGCCATACAAAGTACTGTTTGCAGTTTGTGAGAAGCCATGTGAGGGACACAGCAAACATGTGGAAGAAGGTCCTTTGGTCAAATAAGACCAAAATTGAACTTTCTGGCCTAAAAGCAAAATGCTATGTTTGGCAGAAAACTAACACTGCATATCACCCTGAACACACCATCCCTACCGTGAAACATGGTGGTGGCAGCATCATGTCGTGGGGATGCTTTACAGCAGGGACAGCGAAGCTGGTCAGAGTTGATGGGAAAATGGATGGAGCCAAATACAGGGCAATCTTAGAAGAAAACCTGTTAGGGTCTATAAAAGACTTGAGACTGGGGCGGAGGTTCACCTTCTAGAAGGACAACGACCCTAAACATCCAAGCCAGAGCTACAATAGAGTGGTTTAGATCAAAGCATATTCATGTGTTAGAATGGCCCAGTCAAAGTCCAGACCTGAATCCAATTGAGAATCTTTGGCAAGACTTGACAATTGCTATATAGACGCCCTCCATCCAATCTGACAGAGCTTGAGCTATTTTGCAAAGAAGAATGGGCAAAAATGTCCCTCTCTAGATGTGCGAAGCTGGTAGAGACATGAGACTTGCAGCTGTAATTGCAGTAAAAGGTGGTTTTATAAAGTATTGACTCAGGGGGGTTGAATACAAACACATGCCACACTTTCCAAATATTTATTTTTAAACAATTATGAAAAACATTTATCATTTTTCTTCCACTTCACAATTATGTGCCACTTTGTGTTGGTCTATCACATAAAATCCCTATAAAATACATTTACGTTTTTGATTGTAACATGACAAAATGTGAACAATTTCAAGGGGTATGAATACTTTTTCAAGGCACTGTATACAATGCAGTTTTTGCCATGTCCAAAATCCACGTCTAAATACATTTGATCAATGTATGGCTATTAATTATATACTGATCTACTGTTTCAATACCTTAAAAAAATGTATACCTTGGAACTGTCATTTTCACACTTATTATAAATCGCATGTGTGTGAAAATAGTGTGTTGCATGTATTTAAAATGATGGTACCACTGACAACATATTCATCTGCATGCCTATGTGAACAGTAGTAATCTTTTCAGTCCTAAAGTAGTATTAAACCCAAAAGCAAACATTTATTATATTGCAACTTACCAATTGTTAACGCTCGGTTCACACTAGTGCGGTTTTGCGGGACACAGCACGGCTGCCCATTTGTTTGAATGGGCTGCCGTGTCTTGCAAAACGCAGGAAAAAGGTCCCTGCACCTTTCCAGAAATCGCAGCCTGCACTGGGAACCGCACTACAGTGTGGTTCCTGGTGCAGCTGCGATTTCCAGTGCAGGTGGTGTGCCATTAAGATTAATGGCACCCGCCTGCAGGTCCCGTTTTTGTTCGCAGGTGGTTGCAGCTGCAGGAAGAAGTGTGGGTCCCGTAGCGGCTTCCACCCGCACTAGTGTAAGACTAAATGTAATAGCTGCATTTGTTTTCTTTTTTTAGGCTTTTTTCTTTTATTTTCACCTGGTGATTCAGCCAGTAAGTCTGTTGTTTTTCAAAAGAGCAATCTGTCCTGTAGATGCAGCAGTTAGTGGGGTGAGACATTTACCACTGACAGTGATCAGCTTTTATTTACTTATTTACGTAAAACCATTATCCCAAAAGGCACAAAAAACCGTCGAGGTAACTGATTATTAAGTGTTAGCTGGAGTTTAACTTCAATTTGTTAGTGTATCTAAATCTGCTAGTGCGTTTAACACGCCCCTCCCCCGATATTAACAATGCTGCTGTCCAAAGGTGTCTATGAGCTTCTTCATCCAGAGTATAGGCACTCTAATAAAGGAGGTATGTTACTGGTCAGATCACCAAGTGAAAAGAGATGGTAAAAAGCCTTTAAAAAAAGCTAATGCAGCCACATCTAATAATTGGTAAGCTACCATATATTACATTTTTTGTTTTGGGTTTAAGGCTCCATGTACACGAGCCTAACCTGACCACCGGCTGTGGGAAAACGCAAATCGCAGCAACCGCGGTACCGCGATTTTGCTGCATTTTGCGTTCTCCCGCGGCTGGCAGTCAACATGTTCCTATCCTGAACGCAATTCTTCTGCGTTCAGGAGAGGGAGGTTTAACCTCGCCTAACCGTGGCAGCTCCTAAACTTTGCTAAAAGCCTATGTGTACATGGACACAGGCTTTTATGGAGTTGAGTTTAGGAGCTTTGGCAAAAAGATGCCAAAAGCTCTAAAACTCAAGTTTAGCAGCTGCTCGTGTACATGAGCCCTATTACTGCTTTAAATGTTCCTGATGACCTCTTAGTTTAGAATTTAAATAAATGTTAATAATTTGTGCATCCACAGACAACTTCCCTGATTATTTGGTTCTCTCCATGGCAATTGGTAGTGGCAGCGTCTTCTAGCACTACTCTTCTCCCACCCCTTCCAACTGTTATAAACATGGACGTTCAGTCAAGCCAAACCTCTGTGTTTATGGAGTGCACACAGGTGCCAGAGGGTAGTCAGATTGTGTCTGCATCTCCGAGCACCCTGCTATGTTTATAGGCCTTTTAGACTAGACATAGTGAAATCTTGTATGATACAAAACTAAGATGACTGGTCTCTATCAAAGTAAGGTGACACTTTTGGGATGGTCAACCTCCTTAAACTGACTTAAAGTGAGTGTAAAGTCTAATATGTTTTTAATCAAAATAATAAACAGGTTTATACATACCTGCTCTGTGCAATGGTACAAAGCCACCTCAATCCTCCTCTAATGTGGTCTTGGCTCCTCCACTTCTATGTTTACACTCAAAGAAAGTCTCAGATGTAAAAGCTTGCTTTCCAGCTGGGCTGTGTGTCTATAGGCACACACAGCACAGATCTGCCTCATCCCAGCTCTCTGCTCACTGGATTTGATTGACAGCAGCAGGAGCCAATGGCCCCTCTGTTCTCAGCAAAGCCTGTGAGACCAGGAAGAGAGGGTGAAAAGACCTGCAGCCAGGCATAGCGCTGGATCGATACAGTGTAAGTGTTAGGGAGGGGGAGGGGAGGAGGGTGAACACAGTGGAAGATTTGTTACCTTGCAGAGAATGAAAACCCTTTAGACTTTGGAGCCATGTAAAAAACAATAAAATAAAAATTAATTTTGTGTGTCCATTCTGCTCTTGGGTACCACATCAGTAATATGTTTGCTGATATACAATGCATGAGCATCATGAGTCCATTGCACTCAGTAAAGCATTGCCACATAAATTAAGAGTCAATGTACATTACATGTCAAGCCTTCTTTTGACTTACAGCGGAAAGCAAGAAAATATTGTTAATAATTCTTGGATGTAGTAGCTGTATTCTATTTCTTTTTTTAGGCTTTTTTCCTTTATTTTCACCTGGTGATCTGGCCAGTATGTGTGTTATTTTTCATCTTCCTTTTTAAAGTGGTTGTAAACCCTTACATACACCCAGTGAAGTGACTGGCCTCAGGTGATACACAGAGATTAAACAAATTCTCTTCCACTTGTATTTGTTTATCTACAGGCCTTTCTCCTCTACGGCCTCCCAAAGCACACATTTTACACAGCATTTCTGAGCTCCAGAAGGAAGTGGGCAGAGATCTGATGTTACTTACTGTACAGAATAGAGTAGGGAGCTGAGTGCAATCTGAGACCGGAGTGGTAAGAAACGAGTAGGACAGCCTCCCTCCACACAGTCTCATAGGGAAACATGCATTGGCTGAGGCTGACAATTACCTGCTGTGTGCTGGAGGGGGGGGGGGGGGGCTGTATCCTCAGATTGTCTTGTCAGCATTATCTGTCAGAAGACACTCATATGGATAGCAGAGGGATGAGAAAAGAGATGGAAATCACACTAGGTGTCTTGGGTTGAAGCTAGTACACACTATAAGTCCCTGGTCACACCGGATGCAACTTGGCATGCGATTTGCATGCCATACGACTTGAAAATCGCATGGCAAGTCGCACCCTATTGTCCTCAATTACAGTGGATATGGTTGGAGCCGCACCTATTTCTAAAGTAGTACATGCACTAATTCTAGTGTGATTTGCAAAGACATCCGTGTGAGTTGTCTTGCAAATCGCACCTCAAATCGGCATGTCATCTGACTTTGAAACTGTGTGACTTCACTGTAAGTTGCACAATTTCAAAATTGGGATCGGTGTTACTGGGATGAAAAAGGATATACTTTTTTAATTTTTCATATCAAAAGTGTACAACCACTGTAACAGACCAACCTGTCCAGCAAAAGTGGCAATTAGAGGGTTGAGAGAAACCATTCAACACTGACAGGGGTGCTCACAGTGGTCGTCTTTATTTATTTAATGTAAAACCTTTATCCTAAAAGGAGAAAAAAAAAACTTGCTCTAACTGCTTTAAAAGTGCTATGTGGAGTTCAGCTCTGATTTATTAGTCAGGATCATCTAAATCTACTAGTGCATTTACCATTACCATCCCCTAGATTGACAATGCTGCTGTCCAAAGGTCTTTGTTGCTCCTCCATTCAGAGTGGAGACATCCCAAAGCTGGCCGTACACTGATTGAAATTCAGTCCATGCGTGGGCTTCTCTGCTCGATAGACATCCAAGGGACATATTGGAAAATTTCACATCGATCAGCCGTAGGTTTGGTATGGCCAGATTTAGACCGGAAGTGTATTGGCCAGATCACCAGGTGAAAATGAAGGAAAAAAACCCTAAAAAATGAATGCAGACACCACATTTAAGGATTAGTAAGCAATACTGCTTTAATTCTGGTACCAATTTTGACAACATCACCAGAGAAAAACTAAAATGAACTTCAAAACATTTGAGTAAAAATACCAATGACAACAACTGTTCCAATAATGCGTTTCTTCCATTTTTATCAGAGATGGGTGAACATTTAATCAAGCATGGAGATGGCGTGAAAGACATAGCTTTCCAGGTTGAAGACTGTGATTTTTTATTTCAGGTATTCCTGGTTTATATTATCAGTTGAAATGTTTAGTGGTATAATGTTACTTTTCTACAGAATCTACTGTATATACATAGCATATATCACACAACAACCATTGAGTGGTTGTACCCAGATAATTACATGATGATATAAAAGTGTTTAAACATCTAACAAAGTATGTTTGTAATCATGAAAAAAAAGTGTTTAATTTTATCAGACAGAAAAAAAAAAGAATAAGACGCTATCATTACATTTTCCCAAAGAACACATTAATTGTGTCACCTCCTAGGACTAGATATCTCTCTTATACCCTACATACTGTATATTATAATAATATATAGTATGTAGTCACATATATGAAAAGAGTAAATTTGAAGAATATGTATTTAGTTAAGATCCTGGTAAATAATCTGTCTTTACAGTTCTCTATTAAACCTTATCTGTCCCAAGAAAATCTTAGGTAGTAGAATGTTAGAATGGTACAATGTGTTGGCTACATGTATCTATGCTAATTTTAAATTAAAGTAGAACTATAGGCATGTTTTTTTCATTTTGGATAGAGCAAGGGAGGGTTATAACCCCTGTCAGTTATGTTTTTGCCCTATATGTCCCATTGGGGAGATGTACCTTTACTGCCCCATAGACAAAACAAGAAATGACAGATAATCCCAGCAAATTAAGAGAACTCCTTGGGGACCCCCAGGTCACCAGAACTAGTGTCCCCATTGGAAAATTTTCCCTGTATTACATTTCTGGCAACAACCCAAAATGTGAGATTTTCTTTTTTTTCAATTTCAATGATAATGGCAAACAGGACAAAAAGAGGGTGAATCTCCCTGATAGGGGCATAGACAGCAATAAAAACCTACTAGGTGTTCTAATCCACCTCCACGCTGTCCAAAACTTAAAAAGAAGATTTGCCTTTAGTTATACAGTACTTTAATCACCAATTCCCTGTAAAATGTCCCTGTCCAAATCAAAAGAAAAGCAGAATTAAAGGAGGTAGGGGTAGGGAGAGAGCATTACCAATAGAAACATAGAAGAGTGATGGCAAAAAAAGATTCTACCTAATTTTTTGCCCAATTTTGTGCTCTTTTATCCGACCCTTGGGGCACCTCTTCTCCCACTGATATGAGGCACTATTCCTCCTACTGATGCCAGCAAAAGAGCACTATTCCTTCCACTGACACCAACTGTGGGGGGGCACTATTCCTCCCACTGACACCAACTGTGGGGCACTATTCCTCCCATTGACACCAACTGTGGGGCACTATTCCTCCCACTGACACCAACTGTGGGGCACTATTCCTCCCATTGACACCAACTGTGGGGCACTATTCCTCCCAATGACACCAACTGTGGGGCACTATTCCTCCCACTGACACCAGCTGTGGGGCAATATAATTTCTCCCACTGATGCAAACAACTCCACAGACTCTACTTTTCAAAGGTTAACAGCTACAGTATTGAAGTTCCATTTGAACCACTTGACCTCTGGAAGGTTTTACCTCCATTGTGATGAGGGCATTTTTTGCTGTTCAGCACTGCGTTATTTTAACTGGCAATTGCACGTTCTTGCAACACCCAAAAATAAATTTTTAAATAGAGATTTCTTTTGGTGGTATCTGATCACCACTGGGTTTTCAATTTTGTATTATATAAATGAAAAAGGACCGAACATTTTGAATAAAAAATATTTTCTAATTTCTGTTATAAAACATATCCAATAGAAAATCAAATTACTGCATAAATTGAGGCCAACATGTATTCTTCTATGCTGCAATGGTGGTGATCAGCAACTTATAGTGGGACTGTGATAGAGTGGTGGGCAATCTGGTGCTAACAGACACTATCCTGGGGGGTCACTAACTGACACTGACATTGCTAGTGACACTGTTACAGCGATAAGTGATAATATTGTACATTGACACTGTGCTAATGACACTGGCTGGGGAAGGGTTAACATCTAGGGACAAAGGGACAATCAAAAGGTTAACTGTGTGCCTAACAATGTGTAATGTGTGCTGCTTTACTTTACTATCTGGCATGTTTTTCTCCCTGCTTTCCAGGGAGAAGACAGGTCAGATCACTGCTTCCTGTACACAGAATTCTGTGTTTTTGTAAGCACAAAACTGTGTGTGATTGGAAACAACAAAGAAAAAGGTGCTGCTACTAGTCTAGTTGCTTGTAGTTTGAAGCAGAGGGTGCTTGATCCACAGTTGCTAAGTTGCAAGTAATTCAATAGAGAAAATGATCAGCGCTATCGCCACTGCTCTAAAAAGCTTGATTTATTATAAAGACCAAAGTACATGCATCACAGATACAGTAGTTTGACGCGTTTCAGCTTACACAGCTTTAGTCATAAAGCTCTGTGTATGATTGGCAACTGATTTCAGCCAATTTTGGCTGAACACAGCTGATTGGCTGAGTCCAAACTCAAGCTTTGTCCAACCACATGCGCGCCACTGAATCCGGAAAAAAGAGTCGACATACAGGCAGTGGTGTATTTTGGTTTTGCACTGCCCTAGGCAAGACTAAAATCGGCGACCGCCCCACCCACCTACATTTATCCCTCTCCTTCCTGTTTAAGATCCACCCCTTCTTCTGTAAACATCATCCTATCCTGTTTAGGCTCCAGCTGTTCCCATTAGAGCTCCACCTCAGGAGTTGGTTAGAGACTGCGGATTTAGTACAGGGGATGGTCAGAGACTGAAGACACACTACAGGGGATGATCAGAGACTGCAGACATAATACAGGAGATAGTCAGAGACTACAGACATAATACAGGAGATGGTCAGAGACTGCAGGCAGGATCTAGGAGATGGTCAGAGACTGTGGACAGGATACAGGAGAAGGTCACAGACTGTGGATATGGTAGAGAAGATGGTCAGAGACTGCAGCTATAGTATAGGAGATGGTCAGAGACTGCAGACATAGTACAGGAGATGGTCAGAGACTGCTGACATACTACTGGATATACGGTCAGAGACAGCGGACAGGATACGGTCAGAGACTGTGGACAGGATACAGGAGATTGCGGACAGGACACAGGAGATGGTCAGAGACTGCGGACAGGGTACAGGAGATGGTCAGAAACTGCAGACAGGATACAGGAGACTGTGGACAGGATACAGGAGACGGTCAGAGACTGCAGACAGGATACAGGAGACTGCAAACAGGATACGGTCCGAGACTGTGGACAGGATACAGGAGGCTGCGGACAAGATACAGGAGATGGTCAGCTGAGACTACCCCCCCCCCCCCACGCCCAAGCACTGCCAAGTTAGCCCCCCACCCAAGCACTGCCGAGACTGCCCAAACACTGCCGAGACGACACTGGTCCCTTCTGCCTGGCGGTGGCGACGCCCCCCCTGAAAAACGCCGCCCAAGGCAAACGCCCTGTTTGCCTCACAGCAGATACACCCCTGTGTAAAGGTATGTGATTGTGCCTGCACGTGCCACTCACTTGCTCATATGTCATGTATTTGTCTTTTATATTTACAAAGTAAATAACTAAACAAACAGCAAGCACTGGCCAAAAGTCTTCACAGCAGCTATAACGGACACCACAGTTATTAGAAAGCAGTGTCACCCTTAGGCATAATCTGATTGCCCTTAGGCTCCTAACTTTGGGATATGCAGATGAGTGGGGTAGAAGAAATCTGTAGACACTTCTGGTCCAAGTTTATCAGGGGGTAGAAAATAGGAATCAGACAAGGTTTTCCATCCTGTTTGATTACTATTGACAGGGGCATATCTAGGGAAAAAAAACATTTATGGCAAGCAGAAATTGTGCCAAAAATGTCCAAACAACTGGCACCCATATTTTAGTCCCCCTTTCACATCAAAGACCCATTCACATCAAAGTCTCCCTGGGTCTGGTAAATAAGGGCTACTTGTACCCACCTATTGATGGCCCTGACCATCCCACTCGACGAGTGGCTCAGTGCCCCCTCCAAGTGGCGTCCAGGGCACCTGCCGTATATGCCATACCCTGAATCCACCACTGGCTATTGCCCATGAAACTTTGGCCTGTGGTGTCTGCTACTGCCTCGTAGACATTAGAAAATAACCAGATAAGGGAGTCTATAATCCAATGTTTATGGGCACCTTGACTCATTAGTATGTAGTTTATGTCTACCTGATAGAAATATGTGACCTCAGGAGTAAGAAATTCTAGTTGTAGTGTGACACACAAACTGTGGTTAAGATTTAATATGAGAACAAACATGACGGCGCTTTGAAAGACAGGCTTGTTTAATCTGAAAAAAAAGAAAAAAAGCTGTTTGCAAAAGACTGGGCAAAGTTCTGATCTCAGTGACATTACAGCCAAATCAAATAAGCTAATGGAGTGAAGAGGCGTTGTGAAGGCTTCACGAGGAGGAAAATAAGGCAAAGGCCTAGAAGCACAAATTACTGCCGCAATCAAATACATATTTATAGTAAAGATCAGCTTAGGAATGTATTTGTTCAGTGGCTTGTACCCACTTGGTTCATAATAGATAATGTTACACCTAACAGAAATTATCTTTATTTTCTAAGATCTGCCGTACAAATCCTAAGTAGGCTGTTGGGCCTGGTTATATAATAGAATACATTTTTTGTCCATTTTCTAGATGATCTCAGAATAATGGCCGCATAACTGTCTTCTTGTGTCAAGTCAACAAAGCTTTGTAATTTGATTCTTTAGACAAAGATTTCATATATAAACATTACAGTAACTATTACAACTTACAACATTCATAGAAAAAAAAGGGGGGGGGGTAGATTTACTAAAACAGGTGCACTCAAAATCTGGTGCAGCTGTGCATGGTAGCCAATCAGCTTCTAACATCAGGTTGTTCTATTAAGCTTTGGTAACAAAACTGATAAACTGATTGGTTTCTATGCAGAGTCGCATCAGATTTTGCACTCTCCCATTTTAGTAAATAACCCCCAGAGTGTACATTATCAAGCACAGTTCCTTATACTGTGACGATGCAATGCTATTGAGCACTGCTAGTCCTGAGTTCAA